TCCTCTGTGCGGGAGTTTCCCCCTGGCTGAGAGAGTCTGAAGAGCCACGGTTTCCCCGCCGAGGGCCGCCCCTCCCCCCTCTCTGGGAGCCGCGCAGACGGGGATCGCTGATCTGATGGGGAGGGAGAGGAGTTCTCCTTACCTCTCCCCACTTCCTCTGGGGGCCCAGCACGTTCTGCTGTCAGATGTGCGGCAGTGTGGATCCCTCCGCTCTAGCTTTTCACTGTCTGGGATTCCGTTGTTGGTCTGTGACTGTTGCTTTTGTTGTATCTTGTCGGGGGAAGAGTTCACGGGAAAGCTCACTCCGCCATGATGCTGACGTCATCTTGGTTTTATTTTAAAGTGCAAGGTGATAATAGATGATCCAAGGAAAATATCTATTAAACAGAGACAAAGAATTGGAGATCTGGACAAATAAAAGGGCTGGAAAAGTAATATATTCATTGAAATCATATGACTACATAAGATTTCTAAGAGAACAGCATTTCTCAAAGTGTGGTCTCAAGGCTTCCTGAATCACTAGAGGTCTCCCTCCATATCTTCTAAATGAAGATCTCTGGGTGTGCAGCACGGGAATCTGCCTTTTAACAAGTTCCTTGGTGTTTCTTATGTGTACTAAAGTTCAGGAACTAATGGAATAGCGTATAGAGAGGAACAATCAAAAGATTCAGGACTGAGCCCTAAGATGGCCTATCTTTAAGGGTGGGAGGAAAAAATGGGGCCCAATAAAGAGATAAGGAATGATGTGCTACAGGTACCAGGGAGAGCATCTCAGCTGTGAAAGCAAACCACAATCACAGCTATCCTTGACTGGTCTATTAGTCTACTTGGGCTGCCATAACAAAATACTGCAGACTGTGTGGCTTAAACAAGCGGAATTTATATTCTCACAGTTTTGGAGACTGGAAAGTTCAAGATCAAGATTCCAGCAGTGTTTGGTTTCTGGTGAGAACTCTATTCCTGGCTTGCAGATGGCCTCCTTCTTGCTTCACCCTCACATGGCCTTTTCTTTGTGGTACGTGGGGAGAGAGAGAGAGATTTCTCTCTCTCTTTCTTCTTATAAGAAAGTTCTGTCAGGCCTGTCATGTTAGGGATCCACCCTTATGACCTCATTTTACTTTAATTACCTCCTAAAGACACTATTTCTAAATATGGTCACATTGGGGGTTAGAGCTTCAGTAAATGAATTTTGGAGGGATACAATTCAGTCTGTCGGTGTTTCCCTTTAACAACAACTAGTTTGACCATGTGATCCAAGAGTATCACCACATCAATTCTAAATTCTTGTTCTTTTAGTCTATAAAGCAAAGTTCAGCTAAAACAAAGTGCTTATTTTGATCAAATCTGCATGAGATTTTTACCAAGGTTGTGGAAATACATATTTGATTTTTGTTGTGGTGACAGATACTCAAATTAGTTTATGAGAGGTTACCATTAAATAGAAATATAAAACCATTTTGTGAATAACTAATACGTGACCTTCTTTCCATTCAGAATTTAAAACATGGTTTCCACTTCCTTGTCCCAAAAAACATCATTTTGCATTTTAAATTCCCTAATAATTTGTCAATATTTTGGTTTTACAGACATGGCAGGTAGGTTTTATAGACATGGATAAGAAGTCCACACACAGAAGTCCTGAAGATGCCGGGACTGGTAGAAACGGAGGTAGGAATTTTACTTGCTTTAAGACCTTTTGAGTAAATTCAAATATGTTTGATAAATTATTTTATTTGTTTCTCTCTCATTTTTTGCTAATATTTGAGAGAATAATTGTGTTACATTTTATATCAATCTAAGGTAAACACAAACAAAAGAAAAAAGCAAAGCAAAACCGAAAACACCACCAATCCCGACACAGATCAACATCTCATTCTTCAGTTGACTATGTGTTTCCTGCTTCTTCATCATCATCTTCAGGAAGCCAGACGGATTCAAGTATTGAAGGTATCTTTATCACCCTGTTAAGGTTTTTTCATTTATAAGTTAGATGATTTAGAAAAAAAATTCATTAAAACTCCTTCATAACATCTGTTTATTCAACAGATGTTCACTGAGAATACTCACTATGTAGCAGGCATAATGGTAAACATGGCATGGTCCCTTCAGTCAAGGAACTTTTATTATATTGGGCAATAAAGACAAATAAATAGTCCATTACAATGCAGATAATTGCTATGACTTGATATGCACATGTTAAGGGGACAAGGAAAGGCTTTGAAGAGGAAAAAATATCTAAATTGCGAACTGGAGGATGAGTAGGCATTTTCCAGACAAAAAGGGGGGAGGTCGAATTCAGGAAGATTTATTACAAGCTAAAGGAATTGCATGTGCTAACCACTGTTGACATTTGGGTTTCTGATTCTTTCTCAAGTGATATGCTTACACTTCTATTTCTTGATTTATCAGTGGACTAATCAGAGTTCTTGGTTGTAAGCTGAGGAAGCTAACTCTGGCTGATTTAAATGGGGAAGGAGGGGGCCGGCCCGGTGGTGCAGGCGGTTAAGTGTGCGCGCTCTGCTGTGGCAGCCCGGGGCTCGCCGGTTCGGATCTCAGGCGCGCACTGATGCGCTCCTTGTTAAGCCATGCTGTGGTGGCGTCCCATATAAAGTAGAGGAGGATGGGCATGGATGTTAGCCCAGGGCCGGTCTTCCTCAGCCAAAAAGAAGAGGATTGGCAGATGTTAGCTCAGGGCCGATCTTCCTCACACACACAAAAAAAAATGGGAAAGGAATTTATTGAAAGGACATTGAGTAATTCACAGAATTGCCAAGAAACCTAGAGAACTAATCTCTGAATATGGCTAGGAACAAAGTGAAACTTGGCAGCTAGAACCATAGGCAAGTCATGCCACAGAGCCCAGTCTGGTAAGGGCACACTGCCACTACTGAACCTGGATGCCTCAACTTGCATTGCCATGGTCACTAAATGCCACCACTGTTATCACTGCCACTGCTGTCACTAGACACTGGGTATTTCTGCCATGCTGCAGTATGGATTCTTCACTATCTCTGCTTCTTTGTGTCACTATCTCCTAGGCAGTGATTGACTAAGCTTAGATCACATGCCCATGTCCTAGCTGCATAGGAAACTGGGAAAGCAAATATTGGCCTTTTCAGCATTGATGGTGGGAGGCATGCGGAGGAATATTCACCAAACATAGGAAGGAGAATCAGATACTGGGCAATCAAAATATAACAGATATTCTCCCCATTCAACTCTAGACAATATCTATTGATTAGCTCACTTTAAATCACTCCTTTTTGGGCCGGCCCCGTGGCTTAGTGGTTAAGTGCGTGCGCTCTGCTGCTGGCAGCCCGGGTTCGGATCCCGGGCGCGCACTGACACACCGCTTCTCCGGCCACGCTGAGGCCGCGTCCCACATACAGCAACTAGAAGAATGTGCAGCTATGACATACAACTATCTACTGGGGATTTGGGGGGAAAAATAAATAAATAAAATCTTTAAATCACTCCTTTTTCTCACCTACCTTTATCCTCTCAGTGTTTGCTAGTTATGTTGTAGTTTTTCTATTAGTTAATATAGTATCAATAAATATTTTACTTGTAATTATACTTGTTGTTCCATTAACTTTAGTCAATTATTTTACTCTCTTTTATATAGCTACCTCTATCCTTCCCTCCATCTTTTCTTCCCAATGTCTTTTTTTGAACATTTTCACTAGTTAATGTTTATAATCTGATCTACAACCAAAAATAACTCTTTCATTTTTTTGTCCAAATATTCACTTTAAAGGTTTAAAACCAATAATCAGCATGTAAATTATCACTGTATAAATATTGTTATTGCAGTGCCAAGTCATGTGCTAGGATTACATTTTCCTTTCATGATTACTGGGATTTTCAAAGGAGAATGTTTCTAGAATGTTTCTAGTCGCAGCATCAAGTACATTTATATTCCATCAGTTGCTTAAAACTATGCCATGTCTTAGTATTGCTTCCTGTTTGAACCATGACTTTCTTGTACAGTTTTTGTTTTTCTTAGAGTTTCTAGTTCAACTATTTGTTTTTTATTATTGACAGAAAGATAATGTAACTACCCCATAATAAAAAGATTTTCCATCCTTTTGATCATACTGTCCAGTGGAGTTCATTTCTTTTCACTGGAGATGTTCTTGCCTGTCTATTGTAAACTAGACCACTTTGTACCCACAAGGCCTGCCAGATAGCTGTCATCCTAGAATTTCCTGTCACTCTAGGTCCTCTAGTTTGGATCCATTGTTTCCTAGATCCATCTTCCTCTCTCTTAGTTTTCTGCCTCCACTGTTAGAGTACGTGGTCAAATAACTTTTCCAAAACATATATCTGGAAAGTAAACTTTCTGAGTCTTTGCATATCTCAAAATGTCATTATTCTGCTCTCACACTAATGAATAGTTTCAAAATGATTTCCCCTAATTTCGGTTTCCAACCTGTTCATTTTTTCACTTTTCAGTTTTAGGCTCTATAGAAGATAAGAATTTAGCTATTTTTTTAAAATCACTGTTCCCCCCCCATGTTTACTTCCTTCCTTCCATCCTTCTAAATAGGATTTCATTATTGTAACTTTGATAAGTTCACTATTCAATAATTTCATTATTATAACTTTGCAAATGCTATTTACAGCTGAACCATGTAATGGTTTCCTTTTAGCACAACTTTTTGTTTCCTTTTCACCTAATAATTATCTTTTAAAAAATTTGTTTCATTTTCTGTGTTTGTGATATATAATAGTAATCTAAATTTCCTTTCAAAATGTTCAAAATACATCAGGTACTTTGTTAATTTCATTTTGAGGATCATCTCCTGGGTTTTTTTAACATGCTCCATCTAGAATTACTGCTCTCTAGGCCTGTTAAGCAGCTGTGATATTAGAATCTCCTTTCATCGTCATTCTGGGGTTTCCTTTACCTTTCTTGGGTTTGATCACCTGTTTTCTGAATCCTGTTTTCCTCCTCCTTTGTTTTCTCCCTTATTTTATTGGAGCAACTCTTCTAGTAACTTTCTAGGAAAAGTTACTAGGAGACTATCTAGGAAACTATGAAAAGGATAGACAATTAATTCCTATTCTGTTTGTAGTTGTAAGTTTATACCAGTAAATAAATTTCCTTTATTGACTTCTGCTTCCCGAGATGAGTAGTTAGCAGGAAATCAGTGCTTCTACAATAAATAATTAGATAAAAAGCAGAAATTATTGTTTAAAGGAAGTGGAGAGCTGCTAAGGCAATAAGAACTAGAGAGATTAAGATTCTAGAGAGGAAAGAACTATGAGAAGTGAAACGATACAAAGATTAGAGTTTGGGCCTCACCACGGGTTGGAGAACACAAGAGGCCCTCTGTTGAAAACCCAGGAGGTGCAGGAATGAATCAGAGGTAAATTGAGCCGTAATTTCATCTCAGCACAGACCCTGATTGGGTTTAGATAATCATCCATCATTTTATTTGCCTAGTGGAAGAAGGGTGAATCATCTTGGGATGAAGATAACGTCATCTAGAGCCTCTAGAATTTTGTAATACAAAATACCTAGCTTTCAATAAAATATGACTAGATATTCTGACATGACTTAAAAACGAGATTTAAAAATATGTAAATAACAGCCCTACAGGTAATCCAAATATTGGAGTTAGCTAGCAATGAATTTTACATAATTGTAATTAATGTGTTCAAGAAAATAGAGATTTGTAAACTAAAAATAATCAAATGGAAATTTGGGAATAAAAAGTGCATTATCTAAAATTAGTAATTTACATAGATTTACCAACATATTAAACACAACAAAAAGACAGAATTGGAAAACTGGAAGTCAAGTTAGGAGAAAGAAAAAAGAATGGAAGATACAGAAGAGAGCATCGGAAACATGTGAGACACAGTGAAGAGGTCTAACATGGAATTGGAATCTAAGAAAGGGAGAAGAGAGAATGAGGAAGAAGCAATATTTGAAGAGAATAATGGCCAAAAGTTTTCCAAAACACATGAAAAACATCAACTACAGATACCCCCAAGCTAGATAATACAAAAAAATCATATGAGGAACTTTCACTTCTAGTCAGGAATATGGTTGTCTCTTACAGCATGGAGTGGTTAATATGGTGGCAGGCTAATAGTCTTCTTTTCTACTTTCTTATTAAATAATTCATTTTGTATATTTCCCAATAAAGTAATAGTTGTACTTATGTAGTTCTTGCTAATAAGCATAACACCTTATGTTTTCTAGATTAACTAGAGGTTGGATTCTAGTGGACTCATAGGTGTATTTTCCTCTAGATGGGTTCCTAAGTGCCACATATTTATAATACTGGGTTACAATTATAATGAAATAATTCATTTTATCTGGTATTCGTGTCTTGCAAGATTTTTCCAACCAACATAATAAAGTTAATTAAAATATCAATCTTAATTATTCTAATTCTTCAAATTATTTAGTCAATAAAATGACTTTTACTGATAGAACTTAAACTTCCAATTTTTTAAAAAACTTTTAGGTGCTCCCAAGGGAAAAATTAAAAGAAAGAGAGGTGAGAAAAGGAATAAATGGAAAAAAAAGAAAGAAAGGTAGGTAATTGTGAATAATTTAATATAAGAATAAGATTTAGCAGTTAGAGGATTCTGCACTTTCTTATTAATTAAGAAAAACAAAATCTACAGAGAATTTGCAGAGATATAAGAGAAGGAGTTGTTTAACATGGTAGTTAATGTGGAGCTAACTTAATAGTGTCCTTTTTCTTCTTTTCAAATACTCAGAAGATATACAGACAGGTAAACCTTACATTTGCAATTCTATATTCAAGTGAGTAAATTTGAAGATCTAATTGGCTCTATTAAATGATTCATGAGGGCCGGCCCCGTGGCTTAGCGGTTAAGTGCGTGCGCTCCGATGCAGGCTGCCCGGGTTCGTATCCCGGGTGCGCACAGACGCACTGCTTCTCCGGCCATGCTGAGGCCGCGTCCCACATACAGCAACTAGAACAATGTGCAACTATGACATACAACTATCGCCTGGGGCTTTAGGGGAAAAAAAAAAAAAAAAAATGATTCATGAATCAGGCAGCATCTCTTCTGGCAAGCAGAGAGATACTCTGAGGGGTTATACAAAATGGAAGCCTTTTATAGAAAGGAGGGTAGGACAAGAAGTCATCAGCAAGAGAAAAATGAAAGTTCATTAGAGGAAAGTAAGAGTTTGGGTGACAGTGGCTTCTCATTGGCTGAGCTGTCACATTTCCATTGGCTGGGCTTGTTGCTGGGCAAGAAGAAAATCTTCCTTCCTCCTGCTGGATTAGTAAAGTAGTTGCACTTCCTGTTTGGGAGTACAAAAGGTACATCTCTTCCTACTGGGGTCTGTAATTGATGCTTCTTCCTCTTGGAGTGTGTCATGTCTTCCTGTTTGGGGTAATTGACAACGAGTGGGAGGGTATGAGAGCTCCCTCTATAGGTCTTCCCGATTCCAATTTTACTTGAGGTTTCCTTTATTAATTTTCACACTTCTTCCCTTTTGATCAAAATCTTTCTCTGAAAGCATTGCTGATCAAGAATCAGGTTTTGTGAATTCAGTACCCTTCATCCCTCGGTGCCAGGAAGGACCTTTACTGGGTGTCATGTCCCACATTGGAGGGAAAGTGCGTGGACCACAAATTGCTTGAGGCCACATTTGAGTAACAAGGAAGGGTAGTATGGAAAACTCTCAGGCATTTCTTATACTTATAGGGTGAACTAAGGGGTCATTGCTGTCTTGGACAGATCAAGGTTTCTGATGACAAATTCAAAAATCAGAGACGTTTCTCCCTTTTGCAATAGACTGGGAAATGCAGACGAGTGCATTGTCCTTTCAAGAAAGAGAGGTAGAAAATGAAGTAAGAAGCAACAGTGAGAAAAGGGTGTACAGGCCTACTCTAGTAATCTTGGGAAAGCTGTCTCCTTCAGATGCCATCTACTTCAATTCCTAGAAATCTTTAATTTCAGGTCACTGGATGGGGTGCAGGTCCAGTTGGGATTTGGTGCTTTCTTTAGGTGTGACACATGAATCCAAAAGTCCACTCCCTAGAGTTTGGTGGCAAAAGAGGGTTAGTCAGCAGTACCTGATAGGGGCAGTGATAATTTTAAGAACTTTGCAAGGCTTTTGTTAAGGCTCATATAATTTGCCCAGTGAAGTGGGTGCCTCAATCTCTGGAGATTGTGGAAGGTATAAACCAAGTGGGAAACACATTCTCTTACGCTTTCTTTGCCACAGTGAGGGCATCAGCCTTGCAACAGGGGAAGGTGTCAACCCATCTGGAAAACATACATACAATAACAAGAACATATTGATAACCCATGCTAAGTGGCAGTGGAATGAAGTCTAGCTGCAGGTATTCAAAGGGTCCAGAGGGAGGAGGTCTGAGGCTTCTGGGGACAAAAATAATTTTTCCAGGATTATGGACCTGGCAGGTCAGATATTGCTGATAGACCATTTTTGAAATTTTGTAGAAGTTTCTCCACCAATGTTGATTCATAATTAAGTCATCTTAAATGCACTATGGTGGTTGAAGGACTGCAAAAATTAAAAAATGGGATATGCCAGGGAGCCAGGGAGAACCAAGCAGCTGTCTTGGGTTTCCCTTAGCCCCGACCGTTCATTTAATTTACAGCCATTTTTTTCCTCTGACTCAAGAGCAGACTGTTGCCATCAGGGTGGCAAAAGTCTGGTAATGAGGGATCGTTTTCACTTTTTTTTTCAGGAGCAGAATAGACTCCATCCACATGTGCTACAATCCTTATAGATTCTGTTGCTGCTACGTTTGCAAGAAAGCCAGATAGGGCATTTCCTTGATATTTGGATTCAGTCCGTTTAGTGTGAGCATCAGTTTTGATGACAGAGACCCAGTTCAGTTTTATGAGTTTCTATAAATCTTCTTGAAGATGAAGCATTTTTGCTGAAGCATCAGAGTAACTATAAATGATAAAACACTTTAAAAATGGTTTATTATAATGCAATTGGCAAAGAAATTTGGTTATTTCTGTGATATACAACATTTTAAGATCATAACTGGAATTATGATTGATAACATTATACCAGGACTTATCAAAATTTTAGAAATTTCACACAATTTCTAGAACACTTACATATCTATACAGATACGTATAGATATGTAAGGCTTATTATTACTTTTATCTGACAATGTTTCCCATGTAATTTAACATACCAAGTAAGCCTAATTAGTTTAATATTTCCCTTTTATAAGGAGAGAAAACACATTCTTTGAAATGTCCCAGGGGTCCTCTGGAAAATCTCAAAGTTATTTTGTTGTCAAAAGAGTTTGATTTTGGGAATTTGTCAAAGATATCAAAAGTTTTGGACACTTGACTAAATAGAATCACAAATCAATATTGAACAATACTTAATTATCTATTTAACCAAAGTGACAATAAAAGATTTCAAAGACAAATACAAGTCATGAGCAAAACTTACCTCTTTTAGTAGATTTACTTAAGTAATCAAAGACCCAATAAAGCACAGCATAATCTCTTATCAGGAGCAGACAAATAGTCTAAGAAACCTTAGTCCTTTTAACATAGAGAAAACCAAATTCTAATTTTGCACCAGCTTACTTTTGGCATTAAAATTCATTTACTTAATTAAATTTATTCCAATCTTAGCCAGTCCTGACCACACATAAAATTCCTTTCCCTTATTATTTCTAGTAGTTTTAGTAACGTATGTTAGAATTTTTAACCTTTAGAAACCTTTGATTTCCATTGAAAACCAAGAAGTAAGTAATTATAAACTGACTTTTACATTAGCATGCTCTGGATTGGCAAACTTATAAATACTTTTTATAATTTCTAGAAACATGCTTTTTCATAGAAAATTTCTCAGTGTGACACAAGACATGTTTACTAATAGATCTAATTTTATCTTTAGTTTCTCTGCAGTAAGAAGCCAAAAGTAGATAAACCTAGTTCAGTAATTAATATTCAATATTTTATCTTATTAGGGAATAATCTAGATATTCAATAAGCTTCTGTCATTTAACTTAACTTAGCAAAACTCTAAGTTTCAGGTTGCCAAAAAATTTGGGAAACTTATTTGAAAAGTTCACCTAAAAAGCCCCTTTTATTCTACTTACCTTTATTTAATTTACTTACTCTTAACAATTATGTTTAGAATACTTAACGAAAATTTCATCATACCAAGTTATTTTTCTTGCTGACAGTTTTGTAAGCCTACGTAGAATAAAAGTATTATATCTAATGCTGATAACTCTAAAGACATGTCTGTTTTAATTAAACCAACAAACTTAAACTAGCTTTTTTTTACTAAAGATTATTCCAGATCATGTGAACTTGAAAAGCATTTGGTTAGTTTCTGTTACATTTTCTGAGAACTTTAGACTGCTCATCCTTACAAGTGCTTAACCTTCAAACTAAATAGAGCTCTTTACAAATTAATTTTGGTAATACCATCTGGACGTAGAAAAACATCATACATTTACAACATACGTATGCAGACACATTCACAAAATATAGGCAGGGCCGGCTCCGTGGCTTAGCGGTTAAGTGCGCGCACTCTGATGCTGGCGGCCCGGGTTCGGATCCCGGGAGCGCCCCGAGGCACCACTTCTCCGTCCAACGCGAGGCCGAGTCCCACGTACAGCAACTAGAAGGATGTGAACCTATGACATACAACTATCTACTGGGGCTTTGGGGGTAAAAAAACTAAAAAAATAAAATCTTTAAAAAAAAAAAAACAAAAAAACAAAATATAGGCAAATGCAAACAGCGATCTTATAAATTTTCCTTCTTTTTTTCTTAGTACAGGACAATTCTATATCTAATGTTCTCATCTTTTACAATATAATAGGGGAATTTTGGAGATTGGCAAATGGACATATCCACCCACTTATTGTTGGAATGTTTCTTTATCTCTGGGTACATAGTTTCATTTTAACTTAGGGGAGGAGGCCTAAAAAAAATTTTCTGTCAGGCTCTGAATATCAGCTTCCAATTTGGCCAAATTTCTGTTCATAAAGTTATTAAATCCTTTTAAATAGCTTGTCAGGTTTCAGCCAGGACAAACAGTAAATATTTCTGGCAGATCAAGTAACCTCATTAATTTTAATTTTAGTTTCCCGTTGGCTGTTTAAGGGAATAACATAGCAGTTTACCGGAAAATCCTTCAGAGTTTCATCAGCTCTGGGAGGGGCCCATATGGGGCATTTAAGTTGATGGTGAAGAATTTGCATAGAGCTTCTGAGGACACTCTTTTCCAGTTGATTACAGTTGAGACATAGATCTTTGGATCAGCATTTTTTCAAAGATAGACCCCTAGGGTACATATACATATGCATATATATGCAAAAATAGCATATATGCTTTGAAAAAAATGCACATAAAAGAGAGAGATAAATTAAAGAAAAAGTAAATGGCCACATTCTTTTCCCTTTATTCCAATTCGCTGTGGTTATCCTTCCTAAATATTTGGTATGTATCCTTAGGTTCTTTCTCTATGCATATGGAAATAAATGAAATTAATATGTATGTATAATTGTATATAGTTTTATGTTACAAAAATAGATCACC